GGGGTGGGAGTAGGAGTAGGAGTAGGAGTAGGAGTAGGAGTAGGAGTAGGAGTATGAGTAGGAGTAGGAGTAGGAGTAGGAGTAGGAGTAGGAGTAGGAATAGGAGTAGGAGTAGGAGTAGGAATAGGAGTAGGAGTAGGAGTAGGAGGAGGAGCAGGAGGAGGAGGAGGAGGAGTAGCAGTAGCAGTAGTAGTAGTAGTAGTAGTAGTAGTAGTAGTAGTAGTGGCATGAGTAGTAGTAGTTGTTGTTCTAGTCGTGGTGATGGTGGTGGCTCTGCTAGTACAAATACTCGAAGGAGGCGGAGCTATTTCGATCTGTCCACACACAACACGGCCCGAACATGGACGGGCACAGTCGACTTGCAATGGCAGCCATAAGAGACGAGACGCGCAAAATACAGGGGAAAAATTTCAGCGTCATGCTCACACAATCATTGCGGGATTTCCGGACTCCGCTGGCTGACTTTCTGATTTTGTCACCGAACACCTGCCGAGTCAGATGTGTGACATTAAAGGTTTCGCTAGATTTTGCTTTACTGGATTCGAGTAAGGTGATGTTCTGCGGCACAAGTTCTACAAGGCTAGAGCAGCAGCATGTCTGACAAGCAACTAGCAATATGGCCAGTGTGGCTTGACTTGATCGACAGGCCTGGCAGACCGCCCACCTGGACGTCTTGATATGCCCAGTGTACCCGACTCCAGCTCCACATGTGGAGGAGGCGGCAGTCTGCGACATGTCAGTGCAATGCTATATGGGTAGTTGTCAAAATTATGGTCCCTTTTGGGGTACCCTAAATAATAGGTGCCATATTACAATAAGGACCCCAAAAGGGACTCTAATTTTGACCACCCATATCGAACACTGTCAGAGCATCGCGGCTTTTTGTGCGGCCCCTGAGAGCTGAGCCTTCCGAGCCAGCGAGGAATGGTCTTTGTACTGTTGATGGACAAAATCCTGCATGACCCAAATATAGTGTAGTACCATAAGTCCCATAGTTTAAGTATATAAGGTCATGCAGGATTTTGTCCATCAACCGTATCACAGCTGCCACGGTTTCGGTTCGACAAGTGTTCATACAGTAGTCAGTAGGCTCAGACCTTGAAATTCAGTTTCAAGTTTCGAGAAGCAGGTCAGAAACGCCGCAGCTCAGTCGCAGCTTGAGACCAGAGCAAGCCATGTTCATCTCCATGCATCAGGAAGGACTGCATTTTACTGCTGCTGTTGGTGTGCCCGTTCCTTGAGACTTGAGGCGCAGACGACGATCTCAACGCGAATCTTCAACATCCTTGATATGCCTGCCGGTGTTGTCACCGTGACATCAGTCCAAGAGACCGAAGCTGTGCCGCAGGAGGTATAGTAACTTTGGCGTTTCGGAAAGTTACCCTTGGGGCCGAGGGCATTTTGTTTTAGGGCGAGTTTGCGACACGAGGGTATGTTTTTATGATTCTGCAGGGATATCCCTGTTTAACGTGACTTCCAAACGGACTTGTCGAATCCCTGGCTGTGAAGGATTTGATGGAGCCTTATGAGCCGGGTATTGAGAATCCACGAATCAGCAGAGCAACTCGCCTGGACTGGGACTGCTTAGAAGGTGTTCTGTATTGTTCTGGCTTAACACTCAACTGGTCAAGACTTCAGCCCTAAACCCTAAACCCTAAACCAGTATGCAGCGGTCTCTCAGATGGTCACCCGCGCTGCGGAAGATTCGCTTGGACTTCCAGTGGCCCTGCAGCTCACAGCGCTGCCTTGGAGGGAAGAGCTTTGTCTTCGCGTGATGACAGAGCTGGAACGAGCTCTACCGCCACCAGGCAGCTTCTGTCTCTCAGCAGTTATAAGTGGGGTTATAAGTCCCCTAATCTGGGTTATAATTATAGTTACCCTACTTATAACCTCACTTACAACTAGGAAGCGGAGGCGCAACAGCTGCACTCATGGAGACTCAGAGAGCATCGGACCTGGCAGGCGCTCACCACGCGCTTGCGCCGGAGCCGAGGCCCCGTCGCGCCGTGACGCAGACATGCGCAGACGAAAGCTCCCGCCGGCTGTTTGGATCGCGCACGCGCAGGAGGAGCCCAAGTCTCGGAGCCGCACCCGTGCCGCTGCAAGCAAGGCTTTGAGAGCACGCGAGAATAGAAAAAGGCATCCCAGCCCTATCCACGGCAGACCCGGCAAGATGGATGACAATGATGTGAGGTTTGTTCGGACATCCTGTATTCTGTGGGTCATATTTCTTCCATCGTGCTTTTCAATGATCGTGATGTAACAGTTATGTATACATCGTACTGCAATCTTTCTGAGATCTTTGCTGGTGGTACACTGCTTCGTCTGTTGCTACACATCGTCGCGATCACTTCCGTTTCCGTCGTCGTCGTCGGGGAAGCCGTCGCCGCCGTCACTGCCTCTTCTGCTCCTGCCGCTGGTTTGTTGGTGTTGATGTGATTGGTATTCACTTCTGAAGCAAAGTGTGTTTCGTTACGGCGTGCAGACATGGCTTTTGCTGCCAAGGCCTTGGAGTTGCAGCTGGCAGACAGTCAAAAGGCCCTTCTTTATTTTCTGTAGCTCAGAAGTCTTCCTCTCTAGAACCGACCGTGTTTTCTTTAGAGGCCATGGCCGAGCTTCGCAAGGAGAATGAAGCCCTCAGCAAGGCACAGACATGTCGCAGACTGAGAAGATACCGCCACTCCTCTCTAGCTCTGACAGGGAGGATCTACAGCAAGCAGGAGCTGGGTGCTGGACATTGCGGTTGGTGAATGCGAGTTTGCAAGTGCCCCATGCTTTCGGTGCTTGTAATACATTCCCTCCATGCTCGTGGGCTACTGTCACAGACGAGCCAGCATACAACTTGCGAAGGTGCCTTTGCTTACTTCCTGGAAGTGCAGCTTCAGGGCCATGCCGAGAAGTGATTCTCTCAGCCCGTCCGAATTTTTCATGTAAGTGTCTGGTACTTGTACTACCGATAATTAGTGGTAGAATACGTTCTCTCGGCCTCGGAGGCGCCGCACCGAGACTTCGCCGCCCTCGGAACGTCCGGTGTTCGCGAACTCCAGCCTTCTGCCCCTCGCCGTGGAACCCCGAAGTGACAGTAACTACTGTGGCTTATTTTCTGTTCCAAGGTTAACCGTAGGTGCGGACTTTGCGGAGGAGAATCTCCAGGCCATGCACATTGAACTCACACCTGTGCAAGCCGCAAGTCCTGAGAATCTGGAGCTGCCGAGGTGTCGGCGTTTCTGAATGTGGTGGATCCTTCCGCCTCGGAGGCTGCACCAGCGGCTCCTTTCTCAGATGCGATGATACCGGTGATACCGGTGAAAAGAGGTGGTTTTGACCAAGGCAAAACTTCTCGGGACGGGAGTCTTGCCTCTCCAAGAGTTGAAGGTGCCCGCATGCAATGGAGCGGGGATCTCCGCAGGCGGACACTTGATTCACTTGATCTCACCTGGATGCCTGTGCTTGGCTCGAGTGTGCTGGAGCTGGTGGATTTCAAGCATCACTGGTATTAGCAAGTTAGCTCATGGGAGCCGGTCAGTGCGTCAATCACACTTCAAAGCCGCTAGAGTCCACTTGCCGCTTGAGTCCACTGCTCAAATACCCAAGGCCGGAAGCTCAGAGGTAAGACTGTTCATTCTCATCTTGATCCTTCCTAGGGTTTCCATGCTGATCAGAATGATGTCAATTATACGGTTGATGGCATCACTATCCATGGCCTCCTCGTTTTGTGAGCGACACTACCGTTGCGTGTTGCTGTCCCTTTTGATGTTGCTACTACTGCTGCTGCTGCTGCTGCTGCTGCTACTGCTGCTACGTAGCACGACGACAACGACGACTACTGCTACCCCTACGAGACTACGACTAGTATGCCCACAGAGATATAATATACCTCAGATAAAGATGATGGGACATCTTCAGCTATGCTATGGTGACATCTAGCAGCATCAGATCAACCGCATGGGATCATGTCAGGGTGCGCCATTCAAAATCGCACTGTTTTTTTGGTTGCGGCAGTGCCACAACAAGACGAGGACAGGTAGTACAAGCTTAGCTAGTTGATGGGGGGAGAATGCAATAGCCGAGAAGCTTATTGTCAACCTCCGTGCCAGAACAAGACGAGGACAGGTAGTACAAGCTTAGCTAGTTGATGGGGGGAGAATGCAATAGCCGAGAAGCTTATTGTCAACCTCCATCTTTGAGTGCCACATGGTTTGAGATTAGGAATCAGGATTATGCAGCTTAAGAATCGAGACCATGCAGGTCAGTGCAGGAGAACAGAGTGCTCTAGGACGGGCTACATGTCGGCATGTACGGCAACTTGCGTAAGATAGTACAATTTCAGGAGCTTTGGCCCATAGAAAAGCAAACGTCGGCCTTTTCTGAGTCATCTGTCCTTATATAATGTATCATACCTTATGTGTTACTCCTAAATGATGCATGCTATGTCATACATGTATACATACATATATATTTGTATTTGTTTATATATATATATATGTATATGTGTATCATGTCTTATACATTTGGCGACATTCTTTGTATTCGGTGTTATGTCTCACGTATAATCGTGATTCCTCGAGTTCAGGGCTTTTGGTGCGACCCGAGGCCCCGAAGCGGCGGCCAGGAGCCCACAGCGGAGGTCGCAGGTCACCGCTGCTCACCGCTGGGGTTTGGGTGTAGTTTCGGGTTTAGGGTGACAGAGATTTGGGAGTTTCCGAAAATAAGGGGTACCTTATCTTGGGGGGTCCTTATAATGAGGACCCTACTATTTGCGGGTACTGTATTAGGGCCCCCTATTTTCGGAAATCCCCATTTGGGGCTTTTGGGGCTAGTGCAGGTGTCAAGCCTGGGTAGTCAAAGAGTTGAGCGCGTCTTTGAGCTTTGCAGATTCATATTCTTCTGGCCCATGTCTCTACTCACCTGGTCTTCTTCGCAAGATGCTTGGGCTCAAAATTGGCCCGGCATTAACCAAGAGGTGTGTTTCGTTGCAATGGCGGAAGAAGCCGAAGCGTCCAATGCTACCCGAGACCGGCTCTTCGAGATTGTGCGAGACGGCGAGTATGCAGAAGCCAAGCAAATCATATCAACAGCAGATATGTCATGGTGCCATACGGCCCTGCAGCAATTTTTTTTATCGCGGCGCGACGCCGTCGAGGCTCGGAACTCTTGGCGAAGCAGTGCGTGGCGATGGGGGTGAATTTGGAGGAGGAGGACGTTCATGGACAGACACCTTTCTTCTGGGCCGCAGCGCGCGGCAACATGCCGGTTGTGAAATTTCTGCTTAATCTTGGTTTTGAGATCAACTACAGAGACACTGCCAGGAAGACGGCTTTTTCGCGCAATCGAGAAGGGGTTCCTGGACGTGGCCGACTACCTTATCGAACATGCTGCCTCGATTTGGGTTCGGTCGAATAGTAAGACGCCGCACTCTATGCTTAAAGCATTGGGTCACAAGCCCCCTCAAAAAAGGGAACTAGCTTCGCCATCACCCGCTTGCGTTTGTCCTGGCGCGGCAGCACGGAGCCGTTTCGCCCAGTGGGAATGGGCTTACGACGAGATTGAGCCGCAGATAGACAGAAGGGAGGACAACGTGGTCGTGCAANNACCCCGCAGTGTCTCAGTAGGCAACTTAGTATGGACATCAACTTCCAAACGGGGGCACATTCTAAAGTCGCACGGTGGGATATGTTTTTTTCATGTTTGAGATCATTGTTGTTGCTCTGGAGACAAAGCGCGCGGTCATGTCTAAGCAGTGCACTGCTTCAGCCCCCACCGGACTGCAAGCATTCTGCGTTGATATAAGATTAGCTTCTTTGGGGGTGTGAGCAGGGCAACGACGGTTTCATGTTTGTAAGCGTTCTGGCGTTGAGTTACAATTTCGCTGGATCTTTTGAACAACTGAGATATTTTGTCTGCTCCACTGTGACAGACTGTTCGAAACGCCTGCGTCGCTCAGAGCTTGAGTTCGCTGGTGACCACGCACATCTCCACCAAGACGCGACGTGACACGCCAACTTGACTACACAGCAAGCTGCTTCTCTAGTCAATGTGCGCATGGATGACGAGAAAGAACATTTGAAAGTCATCGAGCAGTTAGCAAGTCTGCTAACTGCTCGATCACTTTCAAATGTTCTTTCTCGTCTAAGTGGCTCTCGCCCATCTGCCTTCACTCTCCCAGCAGTCTCTACACAGACCAAAACC